ACCTTATTTAGTGTGGGCAGGGAGATTGGGCAGAGTAGAGTCTGCCACTGTCTGTTTCTAAATCACAGGCTATTCTCTTCTATGTCCAACCCTCCACATCAGGTCTGGTCCCTGCTTTGGGGGGCTTTTAATTCAAGGAGAAAGTCAATCAATCATGTGACCCGTGCATTTCATTCAAAAGGCATCTGCGGGAAACCTACCACATTCTCAGAGCGTGTTTTCCAAACACAGGGACACCGAGGTGAATAAGTGGCCTGTGAGCTCCAGGACTGCAGGATTTGGTGGCCTCTCGGAAGATGACTGCAGAAAACCCTGGGCATCCAAAGTGAGCATGCTTAAGCCTTACCTCCTGAGTCACCGTGTCACAAGGAGACTGAGTCACATCGTCATTCCACTATCATGGTGACGTCATCCTCAGCTCCCTCATTCTCTTTGAGAAAGATGTTTGTAATGACGGGGAAAGTGGGGAAGTGAGGGAAGCTAGGCTCTGTGTGTGTGCGCGCGTGTGCGTGCACACTCGTGCACACTGTATTTACCATCTACGTGAAAGTGCAGGTGAACATGAACTCTCGTGCACAACATGAGAGTCTGCATTGAGGGACTGGATACGAGGTGCAAGACCTAATGGGATAAGCAGATCTGTAACATGCAGCCCGTGTCCCTTTACATCTCAGAAAACCCTGAGATTTGTTGAAACACCTCCCTGTAGGCATTCTTGCCTCTGTCTCTGCAGTCCTCACACCATCGGGTGTGAGCTCTCTGAGTGGGAAGACCCTTTGTCTCATTAGCCCTTTCTATGATTTCCTGGTGTTCCCCAAGAGTTCATGGGTTGCAAACCTGATCCCCAGATTCATATGCTGATGGTATTTGGAGGTGGGGCCTTTTGTAGGTGATCGGGGTTAGATAAGGTCGTGGGGCTGGCCCTGTGATGAAACCACTGGCTTTATAGGAAGAGGAAGCGATGCCTGAGCTGGCCCACCCAAGTGTGCACACCCCACTCTCTCACCATGTGACGGCCAATGACCCGTTAGGACAGAAAGAGGATCCCAGCACTGGGAGCAGCGCCGGCCAGAGCCACCGAGCTGTGACTGCTACTGACCACACCTGTCAGGAACGAAACTGCCAAGACCCAGGGCTCCTCAGCCCTGGGCTTCTCCCCTACTACTCCTGCCCTCCCAGGGTTACAGCCCTGTCGGGACTCGGAGGCTGCCAGGTAGAAGTTTCTGTTTCCCCAAGTGCTCTTCAAAGGTCTGTGCAAAAATGTGCCTTTACCCTCAGTGACAAGAAAACTGTCATGTCATGTTCCCAGTGCATTCTCATCCCTGCTAGCCCCCCTCGAGTCTCTTGGGTCGTATTTCTAACATCCATCACTTAGCTTTTCAGGCCCTAATTGAGGATTAATTTTATGAGTTAATTTGACTGGTGGTACCCATTTTTTTAATAACTGTTGGATCTTGCTGTATAGATTTTTTTCATGTGGCTAACTTTCATAATGTGATGGGCCCCATCCAATCAGTTGGTGCCCAAGAGCAAAGACAGATTTTCTAAAGAGGAAGGCTTTCTCCTCAAAAGGGCAACATAGAAACCCTATCTGTGTTTCCAGAATGCCTTTCTGCTTGTGTCTATTTATATCCCATCTTCATATCCTTTTGGTCACTGGAATTACAAGATATTTTCGACAGACAGGGCATCTTTAATGAATCCTTACCAATCATTGCAAACTCACACTTCAAAATGTTCTTTAATCAAGGAACTATTTCCAAAGATTCTGTCGTGAGCAGATTAGATAACTATGAAGCAGGATTTATGAGAATAATTGGAGAGGAATATACTACGGTGATTAAAAAAGAGCAAAGCATTTACAAAGGGAAGAATTTAAGACTTGTCTTGGACTGTCCCCTGTTAGTAAGAGCAGGAATCAGAATCCATTAGTCACACTCTCACACACTTCAAAGGTAGTTATTGATGACGTAGCCCACTCTGGAGACACAAGACAATATAGAAGAAATATAATCTCGGCCTACCTTGTCCATATTCCAAAGGAGAGACGGAGGGTTGACAGAGTCTACCTGACTATTAGCTGTAGGCATTCAGGTAGATGAGGCCATTGCACTGGGGGTCTTCAAGTGGTACGAGGAATCCCCTTAAGACCTCGCCGTGTTTCTTAGGCCTTATCTCGGTGAGCATTCTGGTGGCCCAGCAAGGATGGGTCCTGAGATTGACTAGTAGTTCATCACGTCCCATCCCTCACCTTCTGGGAGCTGGTGGAGCTGGTCTGCGAGACATCCTGTCCCAACATTATAGAGTGCAGAGGACAGTGCAGATCCTGTGGCATCCTCTCCTGGGTCCTGCAGACCTGTTTTAATGTGTGGATGTCAGCAAGGCTTAGTGGAATTAGTTTTTCCTGAGCATAAGAAGGCACTAAGAATCCGAATAGGTGGCTCTGTTCCTCTCCTCTGAAGTCCAGGAAATTAGAGCATTCCTTTGCACAAGTTCTTAAGTAAGAACTAACTTAGCAGCAAAAACTGAGCACAAATTTATAGATTAATCCAAAATTTGACTTAAATGGGATTTATTAAACATTGTCCAACTTTATAACCTTTTTATAAAAACTGACATTTGTGTCAAAGTTACCTAAAGTTGATTATTAAAGGAACATTTTCAATACATTTTTGCAATAGGATTCTCCTTGATACACCATTATACACCTACTTCGTTTGTCTCAACAGTGCATTCACATTTTAGGTCTATTAAATCAAAGCACAGATGTGTGGGGAGCCACTCTGAATGATTCGCACCTTCCATCCTGAAGCAAGAGGCTTTGACCGGTCACTGTATTTCGTAGTGACCTGGACGTTGTCCCAGTCCAGGAAGTTGAGGGAGTGTCTTCAGATGTAGGCATGTACCCCATGGGGTTGAGCTACACTCAATTCCTTTGTGATATTACCCCTTGCCCTGTTTGGGATAGAATGTTCTGTGGAAACTCCCTTTGTGTGTCCCCTTCTCTTGCTCTGCCCTTGGGTGTGGCCTTTCTAGATGTCGTGAACCTGCTGACAGCAGACATCAGAAAACTAGACTCAGCCCCCTGAAACCTGACCCCTTGCCTCATTTGAATGGCTTCTCCTCAATAAAAGGGTTCAACTCTCTCTCTCTCTCTCTCTCTCTCTCTCTCTCTCTCTCTCTGCAGACCCTTAAGGTCAGAGGAGCTGTCACAGGACCTCAAAGAAAAAGGTCTCTCTGTCTCTTGTGTGATTATTTCTTGCAGCCCAGTCCCCCTGGAGTGACCCTGAGTGTTCTAGTTGTGTGGAACGTGACATAGATGTATTTTTAAAAATTAATTCCTTAATGTTTGACAGATTGATTTTTCTCCCGTTCAGCCAAAGTTAGAAACCTAGGGATCCGTTCAGAGAGGAATAGGACTTGGTAAGTGATGGTGGAAAGACAAACCGAAAACAAACAAAAGGTGTCACAGGATCAAGGAGATCTCAACAGGGTTACTGAGGTAAAGCAGCTGTTTTACACAGTCACCTCCAGACATCAGGAAGGCAAGTGTGGAGCCAGCCCAAGTGGCTGTGCCAATGGCCACTCCTGACACAGGCCTGGTGTAGCATGTGCTGCAGTCAGGAGCTCGTGAAGGGGTGAAGGCACAGAGACTGGCCCAAGACTGGCGCAGGCCTTTGGCCTGTGGGTTGTTCAGCTGACGCTCAGGTCCCAGGCAGGCGGCAGCCCAGAGGCAACAGCAGTAGCTAGAGCTCTGGCATCAAAGCCAACGGAGGCCACAGCAGCCCTGGAGCTGAGGCCACTGCAGGAAGGGACCAGAGCAGGGTGTCTTGGGTGGACACTTTGGGGGACATTTGGTGGTGGGCCCTTTAAGAGGAGGCTGGCATGGCTGCTGGGTTTGCTGGCAGGACATCTTGGTGGGAGCTCAGTCACCCCAAAACCCAATCCAGATGTTTTATAAACTTGGGAATCTGCAACCACTGACTCCTCCTTTGGAAGCTCCCACCGGGTTCCTAGTATCTTGAGCCAATCAAAACTACACACCTACACACACATTCTCTCATTCTCTCTCTCTCTCTCTCTCTCTCTCTCTCTCTCTCTCTCTCTCATTAAAGCTTCTATCTTTTTTTTTAAAAAATGTAGATGTTGATGAACCTTTATTTTTTATTTATTTATCTATATGCGGTGCTGAGAATCGAACCCAGGGCCTCACACATGCCAGGCAAGTGCTCTACCACTGAGCCCCAGCCCCAAAGCCTCTGTCTTGTCATTTTTTTATATCCCTAAGACGTGGTACAGATCTTCAAGTCATGGAACCAGCCCAGATGCCCACCATCAGATGACTGGGTCAAGAAAGTGTGGTATGCATACACAAGGGAGCTGACTCAGCCATAAAGTGAAATATCCACAGATCCCAAACCCGGAATGAACCACACGAGACACTGGCTGCAAAAAGCAGGAGGCGTTTATTCTCACACAGGCGCCTGCGGGTGCACAGCAAAACCTCAGCCGGAGCTTCGGTGAACTGGCACACCGGGCTTTGGGGTATGGATCTTTTATAGGGAACAGGTGGGTTAGGTCTTAGCTTAGCACAGCAACAGCCTTCCTATTGGTCCCTCTGAATTCAGCAGTTGAGTCACCTAGGGGGGTAAACTTGTTTTTCCACTTTAGTTCTCAGAAAAACCATAAAATTGCATCCTGTCCTTTTAGTTCCTGTTTTTACCCTGTTTGCTCAAGTTTGGCCCTTCCGGGGTTATCTATATGGAACATCTTGCAGCTTCAGGGCACAGGGGTTAGTTTTCCTAATGTTGGGCCTGGGGCCTTGGGGTCCTTCATTCCCCCCTTTTTTTATATCATGGATATAATCTTATATCCATTGACCCATCTGCTCGGATTCCAGCATTATTTCAGCTGACGGCTCAGCATACTGGTTGGGGGTTGGTATTTATTATTAATCTAATTTTGAATAGGACCCCAGGGTCATAGGCAGTTTTATGATATACTCTCAGGCCCCATTGTTTTTTTTTTTTTTATCCAATCTTTTGATGCTTTGCCTGCCTGAGTAAAGGTAATGTTTAAGGGGTTGCAGGCAAATGCGGTACATGGCCCTGCCCCGTACCATTTCAGGCTCCTGCAAGAGTCGGCAGAAAGTGGGGGATCCTGTTTTGTTTTTTTTTTTTTTAAATTATATTTCTTGTCCCCGATAATACTTGTCATGTCTGGCTCACAGATTGGTTGGGGTTAACTGATATGGGGAAGACACAGCACAAAGCAAGAAAAATTAACAGCGAGTGAGTCTTATCTTTAGCGGATTTTGGGTACGTTGCAACTTCCATTCTGGATCCGGAGAGGTGTCTGCGGACTCCTGTGGATGTGCAGTCTTTACGTGGGAAGCATGGATCTAAGCAGCGATGCTGTCCACTTTGAGTGCAGTAGGAGTGGTCAGCAGGATAGTGTAGGGTCCTTTCCACCGCGGTTCGAGGTTCCTGCTCTGGTGCCTGCGTACCCAGACGGTATCTCCGACCTTGAAGGGATGTGGCAGCAAGGGGGTTTTAAGTTCCTCTTTGTATGCTGCGGCTAGAGGCTTCCAGACCTCGTTCTGGACCAATTGCAAAGCATGCAAATGAGTCTGCATAGATGGGGTGAGGGAGGCATAGGTTTTAGTTTTATAAAAGTTAATAGCGGGAGGTGGGGCACCGTACAGGATTTTAAATGGGGTTAGTCCATGTGGGCCTGGGGTGTTTTGGGCCCCATACAAGGCTAAAGGTAGGAGTTGTACCCAGTCTCTAGTGCCAGTTTCAAGTGTCAATTTAGTTAAAGTCTCCTTAATGGTTCTATTTATCTTTTTTACCTGTCCTGAACTTTGGGGTCTATAACCATAATGTAATTTTTAATTAATTTTCAATGTATTGGCTACCGCCTGACTTACCTGGGAGACGAAGGCAGGCCCATTAAATGTTTTCTTTTTGGTCCTCATTATCAGGATCAAAGGGAGTAAACCTCCGATAAGCCTCTTTTAATTTCTCTAAGAAGGCTGTCGGAGTTTCCTCTGACCCCTGGATAGTCTGTCTTACCTGAGCCAAATTGGTGGGCCGTCGCCCTGCTCCATGGAGACCCCCCTGCTCCATGGAGACCCGCTATGAGTAACTGGTGATAGAGATGTAGGTGGTTCTCACCTGCTTCAGTCGCATAGTCCCAGTTTGGCCGGGTTAAAGGAAAAGCTTCGTTAATCAAATTTGTGAGTTGGGTGGGGCGCCCGTCGTCCCCTGGCACATTTTTGCGAGCTTCCAAAAGAGCCTTTTGTTTTTTCTCTGTGTCTAATAGAGAAATCTTTAATTCTGCTACTTAGGGCTGGATAACCATATTAGCAAACATCAAGTCTACCTGTGTTGTCTAGAAATAAAAGCCTTAGACTAAAACTATTTTAGTAGTTCCTTTGACAGTTATCAGGCATTTCTGTCTAAGAATCTCTCTTGTAGCCTCCAGTCTATTTATTTATGGAAGTTACATTTAATTATTATTATCATTTAAGATGTCTAGGAACAGCTGTGCTTTGGCTTTGACTGTCTTTGCTAAGTGTTTAAGATGAAGCAAGTCAAACTGACTTTTGTTTCTACCTATTGTTTACAGTCAGCTGAGTTATCCTGGGAGTCCTCGGGAACTTCATAGCAGCTTTTCAGTTCTGCTAGTGCCATTTGCGCTAGGATGGGTCCAGGCCTTGTTTGACCATATGGCTTTCCTCAGAAGCATCAGGGATGTCTCCCTTTTTTAATGACCCTCCTCTTTACAGCAAATGCACCATTTGGCTTTCTGTCCTCCACTGGTCTCATTAATCTCCCTGCTCAGGAGGTTATGTGGCCTAGAGTTGCTGAGCCCTTTGGAGAAGTCCCCTATTCCCTGATTCAGACTGACTCAGAGGGCAAGAGCCAGATATTGGTTTTCTTGGCCCTTTTAATTTAACTAATTTTAAAAACTTGATCTTAAACATCCAGCAAATAAGTTAACAGCCTTATATTAAGAGCACTGGGCTTTAATGTCTATCTCTCTATCCTGTAGGTGATAACTCTTTATCTTATGTTGACCCAGGTTGTGTTCTTAAAGCAATACCTCTTTAGAATATTAATAGGCAATCCTTAAACCATCTATAAGCAAACTACAAAACAAAACTAACTAGGGTAAAAACATATTTAGCTTATATAATAGCTACCTTGAATTCTGGCAGGGTTATACATCATAATTTTCTGTTTGAGATCCTAGTAATCTTGGCAAAAACCTACTTTTGGACACAACTTTAACTGTACTGAAATCTGGCTTACCTTTTTTTATAGCCATTTTCACATGTAGTGAGATGGGACAGAGCCTTATCTCAAGTAAGGCAGGGCTCTTTATAAATCTCAAGTACTATAGTTCTGAAGCTGATCATTTTACAAAGTTTACATAAATTGTTGTTCAAGTTTACATGAACATTAGCTAACACAACATAATATCACACCTAAAATATGAATTAAAGGCTGAAAGCTTTTAACTTCTTGTAGAAAAGTAGTAATGTCCTTTTGTGTTTTGCAATTAAACCTTCACACAGATTAGGCTCTTATTAACTTAAAAATACATAAATTGTATCTTAGAGTAGAAAGTAACATGGAACTGTACATATCTTATTGATAACAAGTTCAGTTATAGAACACAAATGATATAATTGAATTTTTAACATTTTTTTTTAAGCCTAAAATTACCATACAACTTTAGAACACCAGCTTGATATAATGTTCTTTTGAAGCTTTTACCTTACAGACTTGTATACCTGGAAGATATGAACACATTAATAACACCATAATTACATAAACCTCCTTTTGTTCACATTTTGAAACAATACTTGTAAACTTTTAAATTTAAGCAGAGTTAACATTTTATTAGGGCCTTTTTGAACACCTAGAGAAACTTATAAGCTTAATTTTGAGGACATCTTTACTTTTATCTGTTTACCCAATCTAAATTGAACCGTTTGAATCACGTGAATTAAAGATATTTGGATCTATTTTTAATTTTTTTTTTTTCAGGCTACCCAGTTCAAAATTGAAACTTTTAAAATTTTTTATCCCAAGTATTTAAGTTTTCTAGCATGAACTATCTGAAATCAAACTAAACAATTGTTTAAACCCAACTTTTAACTGCAAGATAGTGCAATGCTTTAGAAACCCATTCAGATACCAGATTGTTACAATAAAAATTATTATTATTTATTTTTTAGACACATATTTAACCTAGATTATCCCTAAGAAACAATTAGACAACCAGATAAGAAACTATCTCTCCAGGTTTTGAACTTTCATTTAATTATGACTCCCATCAGTGGCACCATAGATTTTCTTATGAGTGGACCAGATGTTTTCACGTAGGGGCAACTATAGGTGTAAAATCAAGGGTCTCAGTGTGACTGGCTTTACTGCATTCAGTGTCCCTTTTTTTTAAGTAAACAGAGGTTAAGTAAACAGATCCTTAAGATGTAGATAAGGACCCAGGGAACTCCCCAGAGCTAAATGGCTCTGGCAGCTGCTGGGAGTCCCTTAATCCTATCTTTCACCCACAGGATCAGTTCCTCTAGTTTAGGTATTTTTTTTTTTTTAACTTGTTAGTAGCCAGCTCCCAAAAAGTCCATCCTCTGCTTGCAGTTGTTTCGAGTGCTAGGCTTCCCCAAGAAAGCAGAGTGGGAACTCCTTAAAAGTCCCCTTGAGAGTGTCAAAATTTGTGACTGAAAATTTGGTTCCCATCTCTAAAGCCAATTAACATTAATTTAATAATGAGGACAGGGCTTTGAGAAAAGTCAAAGCGAGATTGCCGCGTCCGGCCAAGGGAGCCGAGTCCGGCGAGGGACGGCGAGGTTAAAAGACACACAGGACACCAAGGTTCTTCATCCAGGAGTCAATAATCTTTATTGCTAACACACCTTTTTTTATACCCCAAGCAGCAGAAGTGGAAAACTACCCAAAAGCAGGAGGGAGGGGGGAGAAATTTAGTTTCAACATCTATTATTGTCAGGTACCGAAACCTCCCTTAACAATAAGTCCATCAGACCAGAAAAGGTCAAGGCATTCCCGTGGGATACATATGTCTCAGACGGATAAGCAGGAACAGAAAAACCGCAAGTTCGCCATGGCCTTGTGAGCTGGCCACACTGGCATGCAGAACAAACTAGTGGAGGTAGGGCTCCAGGGGCCAAGGTGGACCTGTTGCCAACAAGTCCCCCTCTTTTGTTTTTTGCATGCCAGTGGGAATCAAGTAGCCCCTGTCTTAGGTCGTTCACAGCCCTTGCGATGCTTACCCGTCTCTGGGAAGGCCCCGATTCCCTGTCTTAGGTCGCACAGCAAGCGTGAAAGTTGCCCGTCACTGGGTACTACAAGATCAGCTCAAGGTGTTATGACCTATCAAGACATTATTGCGGTGAACGCTTAACCGTCTCCACCTACGGGACCCACGACCGTCACCGCCGAATGGCAGATGTGATTGGACCGAGAGATTAGACAGCAAAGATCCTAATACAGGAAGGCAAGAGGGAGAGGTATGCATAGAGAAAATATATGGCAGGAGTTCTTCTTTTAAGGAGGACACTCATCTTCGGATAGGTCTGAAGTATATCTCAGAGAGGCGATCATCCATCTTCAAGCGTTGATAGTGAACCTGTATTGGCTTAGAGGCTAAGATATTAATTTGATCCTTAATGAATTGTACTATCTTATTTACAATGCAGGGTCCTATTGCCACTACTAGAAGGAGGCCTAACAATGGTCCCAATAAGGGAAGAAGATAAGGCAAAAATCCATTAAGTCCAGTCCAGAGAGGGTTCTCAAATAATTCCCTCCTCCTTTTTTCTAGGTCTTCTTGGAGTTGTTTAATTTTTGTGCGAACTATGCCAGATTTGTTAGCATAAAAACAGCACCTCTCCCCAAGGGCTAAACAAATTCCCCCTTGATTGGCAGTAAGCAAGTCTAAACCCCGCCTGTTCTGAAGAACTACTTCTGCTAGGGAGTCTATCTGGTCTTGTAAGTCTTTAATGGTTCCCGACAGGGTTTGCACATCATCTATAAGCTGTTGAGATAGGCGGCGGTAAGAATGTATAGCCGTACCCAATCCTGCCGTGCCTGTACCCACAGCAGCGGTTATTCCAAGGCCAACAAGGAGTGGTAAGGCCTGCACAGCTCTCTTGTGTCTTCTAACTAAGATGTCTAGGCTAGGAATGGGTAGGGGTTCATCTCCTGAGATAATCGTGATATCAGGAAGCAGTAATGCCAGAACGCAACCACCAGTCCAATTTGTTGGGAGCCTGGGAAAAGCTAAATTTCCACCACACATAAAGACTGTACCATTAGGGGGACAAATGGGTGGAGTAGGTGAGGAGTAATTCTTTATTAATGAGCAGTTTCCAAAGGAAGAGACTCCAACATCAACATCATAGGTATTATTTTGCATCATGCCTAGAAGGCATGACATAAAACCACCTAGAGGCTGCACCTTAAAGGGCAGCCCAGATTGACATGTGTTGTCATCATCAATGGTATAATTGATGGGAACCGCCAATGGCATGACTGCACCTGCCGTCATGCAGAGCCAGCAATCACCAGCAAGGGTAGGGTTGGAACTGTTAAGTAAAGAAAAGGTGGTTTCTAGGATATCTAATGTATTGGCATCTAAATCAGGAAACTGGGATTTGGGCAATATCAAGGGGTGGTATGTAGGCTTAGGGATCTCCGGCTTTAAAAGCTTAATCACCTGAAGGTGTTTGATAGCATCAGTGGGTCCCCCTCCGTCAGAGATTCCGATAGGGGCCTGCATGGGCCAGCAGGAAGGTTTACCCACGACGCCCTCACATCCCGCCTCCGTTAACCGAGTCGTGATGCCTTCCCCTCCCCGGTCACCAAGAAAAGGAATATAATTATAAGTGGTCCCCCATTCTCCACGAGTGTTAGTTAGGATGGCCTCAAAATACTGTTTTCCTTGATTATTAACACAAATTGAGGCCGATGTATAACAGGAGATGTGCATTGCCGGGGTGTAATGACAAGTGGCGGAACAGCTTCCAAGAGTCTTGGTCGGATTAGGGACAACAAGTCCGGGCTTATTAACACATACCCATTTTGGTTGTTTAAATCCTCCGATGTTTTCATTGAGTTCAGCCGCCATGTAGGCTACTTTAGTCCCACAATCAATGCTCTGGATATAACCAGAGGGGGCCGAGTGCTGGGGCCCTCCCTTACACTCACAAGGGGCTCCAAAAAGATATTCATGAATATTCCCAGGTGGGGGGTCAAGCCCTCCTTCAGCAAACCTGTCCAGAAGGAATGCCACAAGAGGGGTCCAGCTCATGAGGTGTGTCTCGGCACTCACTTGAAGGGGTGAGAACAACAACGGCAGGATCAGCCATCTTGGGAACTTCATTTTGTCTTGAATTTTCATTCACCGGTCTGGTGCAGCGCTCCGGGATCCAAATGGGCTTCTCAGTTCCTGGGGGAAAAACACATACAGCTCCCCTCACTCTAGCTAAGAGTGGAGCCGGGGGTTGCCACTTTCCAGTGGATAAATCTTTCCACCTTATTTGAGCATCTTGTACAGTGGGAGGGGAAAAGTGGCGTTGTGCAGCCGTGCGCCCTCCAGTGTCAGTGAGTAAAAAATTTAAAGTAAATAAGGTTATGCTTAGAAGTGCTTGTGGTCCCTGACAATTCCGGTATATCTCCCCCTCTTTTGTTTTTTGTAAATAAGTTTTTAAATGTTGATGGGCTCGTTCCACGATAGCTTGTCCCTGTGGATTATAAGGGATTCCAGTCTTATGATTAATTTCCCATTGGGTGCAAAACCGTTGAACCGCCTGACTTACATATGCGGGACCATTATCAGTTTTGAGGCATCGTGGGGTGCCCATGGAGGAAAAGGCTTTTAGAAGATGACTGATTACATCCTTAGCCTTCTCTCCAGTATGTAAGGTGGCAAAAATGAAGCCAGAATATGTGTCAGTGGAAACATGTATAAAGGAGAGCTTACCAAAGCTAGGGAAGTGTGTAACATCAGTTTGCCAGACATCATTAGGTTGTAGTCCTCTTGGATTAACTCCAAGGGAAGGAGAATGAATAAATGGTGCACAGGTTGGACATAATGAGACAATCTGTAAAGCTTGGTCTCGTGAACATCCTGTGTGGAAGCGTAAAGACTGTGCATTTAAATGAAATTTGTTATGGAATTGTAAGGCCTTATCATATTCGGTGGTCACACAGGAAAGGCCAACAGCATGAGTAGCAGCGTCTGCTTTTGCGTTGCCCTCTGACAAAGGTCCAGGGAGCCCTGAATGGCTTCGGATGTGGCCAATGTATAGAGGATCTCGTCTAGCCCAAATGAGAAGCTGTACTACCTGTAGTTGTTCTGTGATGGTGGATTGCTTTCCAATATATGATGCTGTTTCTATGACTAGAGCCAGATTGGCTACATACAAGCTGTCAGTATACACATTAAGAGGAATAGAACTATAGACTTTGAGAGCTATGATTAAAGCTTCAACTTCTGCCTTTTGGGCCGACTGGCCTGACACAGGTTGTCGGAGAATTTGAGATCCATCAAAAACGACAGCAAATCCATTTTTGGCCCCATCTGTATATACAGTTTGGGCCTTTGGAATAGGTTCCCTTTTCATAATCTTTGGGAAGATAATGGGACACCTTTTAAAGCCCTCCAAAAGTCTATGTTT